TAATGACTTTTGGTCAAATTTAAAGACAAACGCAGCAGAAATGAAAACCTTTCTGCTCAAACAAAACAAATGATTCAGCTCCAGATTAACCAAAAAGACTTGTCTGGGAMCAAAGATGTAAAAATAAACAGTAGATGTTTGAAAAATGATGAAATCTTTGAGAAAATGAGGKGAAAACAGGAAACAGGACTGGAAACATTTAGCATGTTAGCATGTTAGCATTRAGCCCTGGACCCTCGCTGACCTAGTGTTCAAAAGCCTCGACGTATTTTCCCTCTAAAGTTAAATAAAAACAGCTCAGGTATTTTCAGACGGTTCTAACAAACGTTCAGTTTCAGCTGYGAGGACGTGAAGACAGAAACAGTCAAACCAAAATAAAGAGACGTGGAGGTGGGTGTGAGCCGAGAGACGACTGTGTGAGAACATTTCTGCTCCTCGTCCGTCTGGTTCGTCCACTTCCTGGGCTGGAGTTCAGGGAAAGAATGTGGTCCCATTAGAGAGCATGAGGCGGGTGTGTGTTGGAAACACACCGACTGGACAACATGAGGTCGCTTCCAACAGAATTACAAAAGAAATGAGAAGAAATAACTGAAATCAGAAAATGTTGTGAAATSAAAAGAAAACGGGTGAAAGTGATGGAGGGAAAAAGTAACAGGAAGCAAAAGTCAATAAACCCATAAAATTATGGTTTTATCCTTTTTTTTACACTGAAAATCTAAATGGAACAACTCACAAAGTAATGTTAAATTAAATAATTATTTAACAACACTCATCTAATCCTGTCTGAAATCCATTTAACCTGTGAGACAACTTTACAACGACCCTTTAGAGTTAGCAGCTAAACTGAGCAGCTAATGCTACAGGCTGAGGCTAGTGCTAAAGCTAACATTTACAACCTATTTTTGTGTATAAATAAATAAATAAATAAATCAGCACCATAATATAAAATAGGTACCAGTTCAATTAATTAGCTACTTAGCAAAGCGCTATTAGGCTAATATGCTAAATTAGTTTATCAAAGATAAAAAAAATTTGTGTAATGCTGACAGAAATAAATTAAACACACAATAAATGTGTTTGTTTAACAACTATTTGCTGTAAATCTGAAAATTTTTAATAGGTTTGTTTGCTACACAGAACGTCGGCCATTTTGTTTTCCTTAAAATTTCTGTTTTAACATTTTATTTAATCTAGAAAATTACCATGTGGGACACCAGAACATAATCTGCTTCACCTTTGCAACAACTGAATCATTTTTTATTGAAATTTGTACATCAATCGCCAAATATATCGTTAGCATCAAAACTAAGAAACAAATTACAATTAAATGAACAAAACAAAATATATGAAAGATTAAATTAAGGAAACAAAAAGACCAAAATATAGTTAACATTCTGATTAATTCGCCTTAAAGCATCTCATAGCAACAACWGTGCTTCTTCGCTAATAGCAGCTAAGCTAGCAAATTTAGCTTAGCAAAGCACTATCGAGCCAATAAGCAAACTGAGTTTTTTAAAAGCTAAGAAATATTGATGCTGTTGGGAACGAGCTAAACTACAGATAATTAAATGATGTAAAAATCTAAAGTTAGGCAGATTAGCCACTTATTAGCTACGTAGCATGTTAGCCATTTTGTTATCCTCAAACAATTGATTTGAACGTTTCGTGTGAGTCACAAAAACAAATCTGTCTCTCATCAAACAACAAGACTGAGAACATTTCAGTGAAAAAGTTCTCTGAAACAGAAACTAGTTTTTAAAATATCACCAAACAACAGTGTGTTTCTAAACTTTTTACTTATAATAATCCCTGTGTTTTGTTGTAAACATTCGCTCATAACTTGTATATTTCAGATTAAACCAGCTGCTGAGCAGAAGCTAGTGGCATGAAGAAAAAATGATTATAAAAACATTAAAACATGTTCAGTTTGGAATGTGAAAGTGATTTCAGGTGAGAAAGAACAAACCCTCCAACATGTCAGTCATGCAGGAACACGCCTGCTGCAGAACAAACTGCAGACTCGTCGGTTTGATCCCACGTTCTAACCGTCAGCTGTCGTTATGTAACTGACGGGTGTCACCGGGTCTAACAGAGTCTAACACCAGGTCTAAAACCAGGTCTAACACCAGGTCTAACACCAGGTCTAAGACCAGGTCTAAAACCAGGTCTAAGACCAGGTCTAACACCAGATCTAAGACCAGGTCTAGTCGAGGCAGATGGTCTCCTGTCCTGAGCCTGGTTCTGCTGGAGGTTTCTTCCTGATTAGCAGGGAGTTTYTCCTCTCCACCGTTTGCTCAGGATGGGAGACTGTGATGAAGTGATTCAACACAATCTGCTGCTTTCTTCTTTACATTGTTCTTTTTATCTACAGTGTCCTGAGACAACGTGTGTTGGGACTTATATATATATATATAATACATATACAGTAAATAATAATAATATATATAAATAAACTGAAATGAATTTAATTGAATTACCACAGAGGCTCCACGTGGAGGGAGTTCCTCCAGTTCATGTGGAGCAAAGATAACAGCTGGTTTTATAAAGTCCAGAGTGCAGACGGACTCGCCCTTTAACTCAGAGCACACTGAGAACAAGAAGTTCTCTGATGCTGAGAGAACAAGAACGGTTTTTAACACTGAAAGAAAAAGATTTCTTTAACACTGCAAGAACAAGAACAGTTCTTCAACACTGCAAGAACAAGAACAGTTCTTCAACGCTGAAAGAACAAGAACAGTTCTTTAACGCTGCGAAAACAAGAACAGTTCTTTAACGCTGCAAGAACAAGAACAGTCCTTCAACGCTGCAAGAACAAGAACAGTTCTTCAACACTGTGAGAACAAGAAGAGTTCTTCAACACTGTGAGAACAAGAAGAGTTCTTTAACACTGCAAGAACAGTTCTTCAACACTGAAAGAACAAGAACAGTTCTTCAACACTGCGAGAACAAGAACAGTTCTTCAACGCTGCAAGAACAAGAACAGTTCTTCAACGCTGTGAGAACAAGAACAGTTCTTCAACACTGCGAGAACAAGAATAGTTCTTTAACACTGCAAGAACAAGAACAGTTCTTTAACACCGAAAGAACAAGAACAGTTCTTCAACGCTGCGAGAACAAGAACAGTTCTTCAACGCTGCAAGAACAAGAACAGTTCTTCAACGCTGTGAGAACAAGAACAGTTCTTCAACACTGTGAGAACAAGAACAGTTCTTTAACGCTGCAAGAACAAGAACAGTTCTTTAACACTGAAAGAACAAGAACAGTTCTTTAACGCTGCGAGAACAAGAACAGTTCTTCAACACTGTGAGAACAAGAACAGTTCTTCAACACTGTGAGAACAAGAACAGTTCTTTAACGCTGTGAGAACAAGAACAGTTCTTCGACTTTAAAAAGTTTATGGTAAGACAAACCATAAATTATTTAGCTGACAGGAAGTCAGAACTCGTCTTTTCATCAACAAAACAAAAACAATTCAACAATTGTTTCATGAATAATTCATGTTAGTTTTTCAAAATAAAATAATCTCC